TTGAACAATTCTTCAGAATTTTTTGGCTATTCATACTTCTAAGAAGTGTCCCTTCCTTTCAGTTGCCCATTTTCTAATTGAGTCTTTTCTTTGGAGGGGGTGTCTAATTTTTTTTTCAGTTCTTTATATATTCTAGATATTAGTCTTCTGTCCAAGGAGTAGTTGGTGATTTTTCCCATTCTGTAGTTGTCTTCTTAATCTGTTGCATTTTTTCTTTGCTGTACAGAAACTTTTTGATAGGATCCCATTTTTTATTTTTGATGGTATTTCTTGTGCAACTAAGATTCTATTCAGAAATTTCACGCCTATGCCTGTCTTCAAGAGTTTTACTTATTTTTATCTTCCAGAAGATTGACTGTTCCTGTGTTAATAGATTTTTTTTTGAAGTGGGAATCGAACTCAGGACCTTGTGCTTGCCAGGCAGGCACCGTGTCACTGAGCTGTATTCCTGGCCCAATATTTAGGTCTTTGATCCCTTTTGATTTTAGTTTAGTACACTGTGAGAGATATGGGTCACAGTTCAATCTTGCATGTGCTAAGTGCAGCACCAATGCAAAAGGAGCTGCTTTTCTTCTAGCCTGAGTTTTTGGCTCCTCAGTCAAAGACCAGATGGCTGAATGTGTTTGGGTTTGCTTCTGCATACTCTGTTCGGTTCCACTCATCCACAGGCCTGTTTCTGTGCCAATTCTAAGTTGCAGTTTACAATAGATGTATATTTCAGTATAAAATTGGTCCATCTTAGGTATTTGTTATAGTAACAGAGGACTAATATACCAAATTTCCTGCCTTTTCCCTTTGCTTGCTAGCCTTTGCTATTAGAATAATGTAGGCAAAAATTGTAAATGACAATTTGGGCAAAAATTTGGGCAAGAACATTACTTTTTTTTTGTTATTGGGTTTACATTTAAGACGAGACCTTTACTTTGACCTTATTCTTATATTCAAGGACCACTGTGTAGATCATAATGAATATTATCTTAACAATTATGAATTAATCTTATTATCTCAGTCATTGGGTGACTTACTTACCTTTTAAGACTCAACCGCATAACTCTCAATGATTCTCAACGCTAAACCTCTAGCCCACTTATCTCTACCAGGCATCTAATCTGAAGTTTAAGTCTTCCTGCTGTCTCTACCAAAAGATGCTGCGCTGACAATTCTAGTTGAATTATTTCCATTCCACTTCAAATGCTGTCCTTTTCCTGTACTCTCTATTCTTCTCTATGACACTATAATTTATCCAGTTATCCAAATTTGCAACCTTAGAACCATCACTGGATCATGTTTCAGATCTAACTGATCACCAGTTCTTGTTCCTTCTGTATGTAACATATCTTTTATCAAATCTTTCTTTCCCACCTCAGTTAAATAAAGGTTTACCTTGGCCCCCACTTAAACCTTTACTGTTTTTTAACTACCGCAGTCTCAATCCTGCCCTTCCAAATGTCCATCTTACTGCTAGAATTTTTTTCCACAATGTGAAAATACTCATATAAAATGACAATATTGTAATACAAAATAATAAAGAAAATACAAAATATAAAAAAATAAATTAACATGCACTTACTTTGAAAACCTTAGTGGCTGGTGTGAGGGAGACAAGAGAGAGGAAGGTTACTGTGTAGGATAACTTTCACTAAGAGAATCCCTGCTGTCTACTGGCTCGATGGAATCCTTCTCTTTCTGTGCAACTTTAACAAGGAACCTATCTAGTGATACTTGCTTTTGCCTCTTCTTGAGGATTTCATGGAAATGTGACATTGGATTATCATCACACAGATTCATTGCTCACATGGCTACCTTATTCAGGTAGTTCTTTACTATAAAATTTAACCGTTCCTCACATTTTCCAAATCTCCCTAATCTTTTTTTTTTTTTTTATCTTTTTGAGACAGAGTTTCGCTATGCAGTTCAGGCTGACCTTAAAATCACTTTGCAGCCCAGGCTGGCCTCAAAATCACAATGATCCACCCATTTCAGTGTTGGGATTACTCCTTTACCAGCTCTTGAATATCACCCTCATTCATCTCCTATGGTCTTCCCCAAGAACACAATTTCATGGACAATTGATAGCTCCTGTTTATGAGCAAGCCCTTCCATGTCATGTCCAAGAATGCAATCAGATCATGGCTTTCTCCAAGCAGAATTGAGGGTTCTCTTGGTGCTCCCGTCTCAGGCTTTACTCATGATCTTGAGGCAGTTCATGATGTGGAAATGATTTTTCCAAAACTCTCAGAGCACAAGGTTTACTTCTTTGGTCTCTCTGAGGCATTGCTGGATAGTGCTTTGGTATGAAGCTTTGTAAAGTTCCAATGACCTGTGATACATGGGCTGGAGACTGGGGTTGTATGGGGAAGGAGGAACTTGACCTTTACTGAACCTGAATTCCTCCAGTAAGTTGTCCTCAAAGCCTGGAGGATGAGCAGGAGCATTACCCATAACCAGAGAGGGTCTCAGTGGCAGGCTCTTGTCTAAAAGGTTTTCTTCACCGCAGGACCAAAGGCCTCATTGATCCACTCAGTGAACAAGATAAGATATGAACAACCCAAGCCTTGCTGTTGGACCTCCACATAATGATTAACTGGCTCTTCTGCACCTTAGATTCCTGAAAGTTGGTGGATTCTTGGAATGATAGATGGGAAGGGTTGGACTTTGAAATCCCTGCTTGCATTAGCACAAAACAAGCACTGCATTCTCTTCTTCTATAATGTACGTTGTCTTTGGCATCTTTTTCCAAAAAGCCCATCTCATCACACTTAAAAAGTACATATTTACATCTATATTTATTTCTTTCTATATATTTTAAGCCATGAGTTTTGCATTATTTCTCATTCAAATCCAATAATACAGAGTTCACCTCTCTTTTCATATTTGTAACTCCCTTTTCTGACAGTGAGAAGGTGGATTCTCATTATCTTTAATTCGTTTAATTATTTGATCAATCCCTCTGCATGTAAAAAATTCCCATTGCTGTCCTCTCACCTGCATGGAAACTCTTCTAATCCTACTCAGGATCCAATACCTGCGTCAGGCTGATATTACTTCTCTCCATGTGAATGCTTTCATCTTACCTGTGTAAGGCCCCTGAAACCCCTATCCTACCAATCACAGATGAATGTACCTTGCTCTACTCGACCTTTATGAATGAATGGTTCCAGGAAGGGAAGGGAAAAGAAGGTTGGGGAAAAGGGCTTCCAATTATTTAATATGCCTTTTGAACCCCCACTTTTTTACTATTACAAACAAAATTGCAATGAGTAATCACATCCATCCAAGGCCACTGTATATTTAAAATACATTTCTAGAAGTTAATTTGCTGGGTTAGAAATTAAGTACGTTTGTAATGTTGGTTATGCTACGTTGCTTTCTACAGAAGTTTAACAATGTACCTATCCACAAAAAACATACCACGGTATTTCTAATATATAGACTTACAGGTTACATAATGACATTTGAGAAGATTAAGACAACCGATTTTCTCTTTTAAAAATACATTTATTGTTACACAAACCAAATTTTCTGTTAAGTTTCTAGGTAACAAAAATGAAACAAAATCTAGCTATCACAAGCAAACTTAGTAACACCAAGGGTAACTAAATAGATGGGGTAAAAAGTAACTGTGAGAACCTTAAGAAACATAAATTAGGCCTGGAAACTCAATAGAAGTTAATGCAGTAGCTCTTCAATTTACAAAACAGTCTCGAAGCCGTTTTTTTTCCTACCAAATTTGTTATTCAGATATTGGTCAGAAAGTGGCTTTCTAGGTTTTAAGCATAAATTCTTTTTATAGCCCAGCAGCGGTAGCAAGAGGCAAGCTAGTGTCCCTCATAATTGCCCTGGGCTTGACATAAACTGGGTGGAATTCTGAAGTTCAGCGTTTTACCTAGGAGTTCCTGGGTTTTAGCACTGAACCTCGTGCGTTCCTTTAATTCCAAGGAAACTTAGTGGTCTCCTCTCAGTCTAGAGTCCAGTACAGTTTTCGCCAACCGGATGTGACTATTCCTATTTAAATTAAATTGAAAATTCAGTTCTTCAGTAGCAGTAGCCACATCTCAAGAACTAAACAGCGCAGTGCTCAGCGGGCAGTGGCTACCCTGTTAGAGCAGATATGTAGAATTCTTCCATCACAGCAAGAAGTTTTATATGGCGGCGTTGCTGTACACAGTTAAAATCTCGGCGCAGCGGTGCATACCTGTAACCCCAGTCCCTGGGAAGCTCGAGTAGGAGGACTGCACGTTCAAGCCAGGCTAGGTAACTTAACAAGACCCTGCCTAAAAAACAAAATGCTCCGGACGTAGCCGTGTTCGAGCCCTTGCCTAGCGCGCGGGAGGCATCTGGGCTCCATCTTCAGTATCATACGCACAGTAAAAACAAAACAACAAAACAAAACCCTTTAAACCCACTAGTCCCAACACCAACAATTATATCAGACTAGATATTACTTTCCTCAAATAGGGGAAAAATACGCTGAGCAAATAACACCAAGTAAAAATTATGCCAGGCAGCCGGGCGTGAGGTATGAGGATCGCAAATTTGAACCCAGCTAGGGCAATTTGGCAATTTAACAAGACTCTGCCTTAAAAAAAAAGGGAATGGGAGGTTGGGACGTCGCTCAGCAAGAAGGCCCTGGGTTCAAGTCCCAAAACCCCACCCCCAAAAAGCGTCTTTCCAAAGCCCACCGCTGCCGGTCGGTTTTCTCTGGAACTCACTCGACAGTAATTTCCACGCGGAGGCCCTGTCTGTCCTGACGAAAGGAACCCTGCGGACTTCTAGAAGGGAGGAAGCGCTCAGAGAAATGGGCGTCCCACGGCCAAGACCCAAAAGACACTCTGAAGCTACAGCGGCCCGGGTTTCGCGCGCACGGCGCTCCCAGCCCGCGCTCCCACTCCCTCCAGCGCCACCTCAGGCCCAGGAGGGCGGAGGCCAATGGGGTGGAGCGCCGCGCGCTGTGGGCGGGGCTGTGGGCGGGGCCGTGACGCGCGCGCCTCGTGACCCACTCCGGGCCTGCGCCCGCGGAAGCCGGAAGCGGTGGCTGTGGCGGCGCCGGCGTGGGGCGCAGGAGCGGAACGCCGCGACCTGGGGCTCCTGAACCCAGTGATGGAGCCCGTCCCTACGGTGGCGCCGCGGAGGTCGTCGTTGCTGCGGTGGCTGCCGTTAGTGCCGCTGCTGTGGGCGAGGCTGGCCCTGGGCGCGCTCCCCTTCGCCGGCAGCCCGCACGGGGTCTTTGCGGACCTCTGGTCGGAGCCGCGGTTGCTGGAGGTGGAGGACCTGACCCTGTCCCTGATGCGGGGTGGCGCTCTGGGGCCGCTGTCGCTGCCTCCGGACCTGCCGGATCTGGATCCCGAATGCCGGGAGATGCTGCTGGACTTCGCCAACAGCAGCGCAGAGCTGACCGGGTGTCTGGTGCGCAGCGCTCGGCCCGTGCGCCTTTGTCAGACCTGCTACCCGCTCTTCCAACTGGTCGCCGGCAAGATGAACAACATCAGCCGCGCCGTGGGGGTGGGTAGAGGAGACGCCCGGGCGCTGTGGCGGGAGGGCTGGGAGAGGAGGAGGCGGCGGCGATGGTCAGCTGTAGAGCTCTCCGTTTTTCCAGTTGTATGGAGATGGGGGTGAGCTGGTGGGTTTGTACCTCTGTAGGTGCTGTTAGGCACCCTCTTGTTAGGGATCAACACCTGTAAAGACTTGTTTGCAGATAGGTTATGCCTGGTTTTCTTGGGGAGTCGTGCTCCCCTAACCCTACCTTCCTCTTCTTCACGCCATGCCCTCAACACCGCCATCGCTTCTTTCCGTCTCAGTCTGGAGTTCCCAGAAAGGACCCTTTTCTGAAACCACAAATGGAGCGGAGAAGCTGGTAGTGGCTAGAAGGTTGAGTTTTGTAGCAGAAATGTTCAGATCCACTAATTTCTAGCAGTGTGATTTTGGATTAATGATCTTTTCAGAGCGTTAGTTTCCTCCTATATAGTGCGAGGAAGGAAAAACCACCAGCTGCCTTGACGTGGCTCTTACAAGTATTAAGAGAAATATATTGGGGCGTTCATCTTAGTGATGAGGAAAGTGTAGAGTTAGTTGGCCAGGAGTGCAATTATACTCTGGGCAAGTTGCATTCTCTGTGCCTCTTTTCTCATCTATAAAGTGGGGATAAAAGCGTGTCTTAGAAAACTGGCAGAGAGAAATAATTCTCTGTGTATGGGATTTAAAATTTTAGGGGTTGGTAAGTCTGCCCTCCATTTTTGGTAGCCTAAGAGCTCGTATGCCCATTTGCTAGGTGCTGCGGGACCAGAAAAAGGAAGGCACAGTCCCTTCCCCAAGTAGTGTAGAGGGTGTGGAATAGGAAAGGATTAGAGTTAGCCCTGGTGAGAGTCACGAGGATGCCTGGCAAAGGGAAGACAAGAGGAATAATATTGGATTGCGGAGTGTGAAAGTTCCTCCTGTACTAAGGGGACAGCACATAATCTGATGAAGATATGGTTGGAATTTCATAAATCATAGTTGATTTGAATATAGGCTTGTATATAATCTCATCTTGCTTTAAGTCAGCCTGCTATTTGTAGAAAGCTATTATTTTACACAAAGAAGGGATTTATTTGCATCAACTTCTATGGTCAGTCTTTCTCTAAAGAGCTAATTTTCAAAGTAGTTTAAATAAATTGAGGCTTACATGTCATATTTTCCATGCATAATTATATATATAACTTTATTCAAAGCTTGTTCCTGTCAACTACAGCAGGATATACCACACTATATTTGGTTTTCAGCAGTTTAGTGAGTTATATTTAGGGTGCCTTTTACTCTGAAAAGCAAGTGTCTGTGTTATGGTCAGAATCATGATCAAAGCTTAGCTCTATCTCTCACTTTTTTTTCTTTTTTGTGGTACTGGGGATTGAACCCAAGGCCAACATATTGAGCAACATTCATACTGAGCAACATTTAAAATTTTTATTTTGACATAAGTTCTTCCTAAATCACTAGAGTGACTGAGCTGGGCTCAAATTTGCAGTCCTCCTGCTTCAGCTTCCTGAAGCGTACCACCACACCTGGCTAAAGTGTGGATCTTTTGAGGCAGCAAATGCTTTTCTCATTTCTGTAGGTACTGAGAAGTTAAACAGTTATCCCACACTCTAGTAGTACTATGGGCATCACCCAGTCTAGGTGTGACTTTCCGCATGAATTCTCCACTGTCTAGTGAGGTTTCCCAATATGGGAGATGCACATGCAGCCTTCCTCTACCTCCTGCCCCTCAGATTCTGCCACTGACATGGGCACCCAGCTTACTTCACCCCAGTGTGGAGAAATAAAAGGGTGAAAAGAAGTGGGAAAACCCTTCATCCAATTCATTCTAGACTTTGGTCATTGTTCCTCTTCCTACAGTAAAGCGGAATGTGGTTCATTAGCTTAAAAATTTTATTTCTGTAGTTCTCAGGTAATTTTTGGATTCCATAGGCTTTTGTAGACTGGTTTGGGAGCTAAACGAATATATGTAATAACGAACCTATGGAAAAATATGTTCTGAGTGTCTTAAGAATTAACATGAAGGAATTAGTTGTCTTTTGGGGAGGTTATTTGTCCAGAGTAACAGATTTTTGACTTACTAGACTGTCTTTCAGTCTCATCAGTTTAATTAGCAACACCTAGTGTTCTTGTGTTGGGGGCTGGTAAAAGGATATAGAAAAACAGGCCTCAGAGCATCAGTGTAGTTGGAAAGAAAATAAAACTATATCAAGAAAAAGAAAAAGGAAAATGTCACCAGTGTGTTATAAGTCATATGATAGCAATGTAGAGTAAAGGGAAGGAGAGTATGAGTTACAGCAGGGAACAGAACATGGTAGATTTGGTTCATCAGGGCAACCCACAGGCTGAATTGTGAACAAGGCATCATTTCTCACCTTTAGGGTGAGTGGATAGGGTTGATTGAGAGAGGACAAAAGTATAACAGGGCGAGAAGAAAACTGAGGTAGAAGCTAGGAAGGTGTTTATATGGTACCGCAAGCTAATTAACTCTACTGTAGTTATCTAGTGCAAATCTTATGTTCATGTCACTTCCTCCTAGAATTACTGGGGCAAGGACCACATACAGTTTCATGTTTTTCTTTTTTCTGTGCTAGGGACTGAATCCTGTGCTTCATACTGAACTATGTCCCCAGCCCCTTTTTATTTCAGTTTGAGAGAGGGTCTTGCTAACTTGCCCCGGATAGCCTTGAACTTGCAATTTTCTGTACTCAGCCTCCCAAGTAGCTGGGGTTACAGGCATGCACTATGGGACCCAGCTCACATACAGTTTTATAATCTCACAGTAAAGAAGTGGTTGTGAAACCTGAGTGGTGGAACTGACGGGTTCCCTGTTCCTTAGAGGTGTCCAGTCCTTTAGTTTAAACTGATAGGGGCATGGTTTTATTGAGCTGTTCAGCATCATCAGAACTTTTGCTTCTTGAAGTTTTGAATTTAAAGTTCAATCCTGTTCCACTTAGTTTAAAATTTAGATAGGTGAATATGTAGGTACTTTTATGCATTTATTGAAAAGTAGTACCTATTATGTACAGGTTATGATAATTACTAAGGATATATCTGAATGAGCAGAACTCATAGTCTGAAAATAGACATTAAACATATTATGTAGGTAATTATTTAATTCAAATGTGGTAAATGTTGCAGAGAAAAAAACCACATACTGTATAACCAGGTGTAATCTGAAGTATAGTTGGGAGTAGGCAGAGTGGTTGGTGAGTAAAGTTGACACTTAAAATGTGAGGATAGGTGTAAAGAAATCTCTGGTGTGAGAACTGTGGATGGATGGGGTAGAGTGTTTGAGGACTTGAAAGAACTCAGCACAGTTAGCAAGGAGACTAGTGAGCTATGCCTGAAAAATTGGTTGGGGGCTAGATCATGTGAGCCTTGTAGGGAATATGAGGGATTAAATAAATTAGTTAATTAGGCACTGGGAATTGAAGTCACGACCTTTTGCTTGCTAGGCAGGCACTGGCCAGGCAGGTGCTGTGCCGCTGAGCTACATCCCCAGCCCTTACGAGGGATTTTAGACTTTGATTTGAAAGCAGTGCAATGTTACTGGAAGCTTTAATTCTGTGGAGTGACATGCTTAGACTTGTGCTTCCTAAGACCATGTGGGCAACATGACAGGAATTGGGGTAGGACCTGGGTAGATGGGAGAAGAGGATCTGTGGGGAGATGAATCAGGCGATTGTCACAGTGCTGTGAGAAATGGTGGCTGCTAGGGCACATGGGGCCATTACAATCGAGAGATATTGGGTAGATTTTAGAGATATTTAGGAAGTAGAAATGATTAGTCTTGGTGGCTAATTGAGTGAGGAGTGAGGGAGAGGAATGATTTCCAGAGTTTTACTAAGAGCAAATTAGTGACTAGGGAAGGAGGAGCCTATTTGGCAGGAAATCATTAATTCAGTTTTGAAACTTGTTGATTTTGTGATATGTTGAGCCATCTAAACAGAGATATTGCATGGTTGGATGTACACATCTAGGTGTCTGCACTGGAGATAATGCTTTTGGCAGTAGTCAGCATAAAAATAGTGTTTGAAACCATGGCATGGATGAGCCTAACTGAAGAATAAGCTCTTTAGTTTGAAGTTTGAGATAGAGGACAAACTATCAAAGGAGACTAAAAAGGAGTCAGAGAGATGAAGGAGAATTAAGAGTTTAGTGTCTTATAAACCAAAGGAGTGGTTTTTGTGTCAAATCTGCTGAGAGGGTTGGAAGTGCATCTATCAACATTGACTTAAAGAGTGACGTTAACAAGAGTCATTTTATTTGTTTGTTTTTGGAGACTGGGTGTCTGTCTGTAGTTCAGGCTTGAACTCACTATCCTGCTGAAGCTGACCTCAGTCTCACAGATCCTCCTGCCTCAGCCACCTGAGTGATGGGATAATAGGCAGCACTACTATGCACAACTTAAATAGGTTTTTGTTGTTGTTGTTGGAGATAGGGTGCTGTGTTGCCCAGGCTAGTCTCAAACTCTGCTTTCAAGAGATCTTCCTGCCTCAAGCGCTGGGACTACAGGTGTGTTCCATAGTACCTGACAACCTTTGAATGTTGATGGAAGGGATTTCTAGAGACAGTGAAGACCTTGTGGAGGTGAGCAACCCTGAGGGAGGGAGTGGGAAATAGACAAGGTCAGTTTCCTTGGAAAGCAGAGTTGGTAGAATAGGGCAGTGGCAAATGTGTGGTAGCTAGTTGGCTGTTTGTTATCGTTGAAAGCTCTCACAGGTTCACGGTCACTGGGATAGGGCATCCACAGAGGCAAAGCTCTGACAGGCACTTTCTCCACTGTGATCAGAGGGTAGGAGGAGAGGCTAGGTGTGGAAATAGGCAAGTCAGAGTTTCAGGTTGATGGCTTTTTTCTCTGCGGGCTAGGAGGCTAGATCTTCTCTTAGGAGTAAAGAGTGGGTTCAGGGAGTGTGGAGAAGATCTGAAGTAGTGGTTGCAAAGAGGAAAGAATGAGCAATGCGAAAGTAGGGAATATAGTGTCAGAT